GGAGAGACTGAGAAAGATGGGTTTAATAATGTATACTGCATTGAAACTTATGAGGGAGAAAACTGTTTAAAAGGGATATGTGATTAGGTATTTTTGTCATCATAGGAGTCTAGAGTGAAGGCTACATGGTGGAGTGGACCTGGGGGAGGGTTTGTAAAACAATGAAAGAATTTTTCTTTTACTTTTCCAAGAGGGTAGTGTACTAGTGGGTAGGGTTGGGAGGGGAGGAAAGTGCAACAATGAATGAATGGAAATCCAAAGTCTGTAATTTTTTACTGAAATTAATAATAAATTTAGAAAAAAAATTACCAAAAAATAAATCTTCTATTGCAGTTGAACTACCATCTATAAACAAAGGTCCAGCCCAGAGCAAACCATCAGGTCACAGAAATCTACATTAGCTCTCAGAATGGAACATCTCTTTATCTGGTTGGGTTCAAGTTAACACATCCTCAGCCATCTGGGGCTAGGTCCAAATGGGCATCAGCTGCAAACTTAGGCGTCCACACTTCTTCTTGTGTTTCAGACAAGCTGGTACCCTTACTCAGCCTCAGCCCTAAATGGACCAAGGCAACATATCATGAATTTTTAGGGCTCCCTTCTTCACAAACCAACAACCTTTCTTCATTTATCCATTCACCATGCTAAGTGGACAGTGCTGAAGGAACAAGTCCAAGTTCATTCAGCCTGTCTCTTCATTACTGCATATCTGTCAATTCCACTCTTCAAGAGACCCAGGTGATCACCATGAGTTCAACATACTTTCCAGCTTCATTTAACTTTGAAGTCCTGGAAAGGGAGTTCTGATATCTCTGACTCATCAGGTAAACTAAGTGGTCACCATGAGTGAAGGATACTTGTCAACTTTTCCTTGCTTCAGTTTCATTGCCAAAGTCTCTGTTTTATATCCATCATAGACTGAATAGATGTTAGATCGGTGTTGGTCATGAAGTTGTTTTAAACAGGTAAATGATAAATGGGGGAGTCTTTTTATGACCTGCTCAATTTCTTTTTTTGTGATAGGTCTGTTCAAATGTTCCACTTCTGTCTGTGTTAATATGGGCAGGGTGTTAATTTCTAGGAATTTGTCTATTTCCTTTAGCTTTTCAAATTTATCAGAGTGTAATTTTTCATAATATTCTGCTATTATTGATTTAATTTTAGTTGGTTTATTTGTGATGTCACTTCTTTAATTATTTAATCAAGTTATTTGCGTCTTTTCTTTTGTTAAATTTGCTGATGGTTTGTCTATTTTATTAACCCTTTCAAAGAACCAGTTCCTGATTTTGCTGATGATTTCAATTAATTTTTCTGTTTTTTCATCCCATTGACTTCAGCCCTCATCATTCCTTTTCCTCTAGAGGCAGTGGGGTTATCCTTTTGTTGTCTTATTATTTGCTAGAGGTGTTGAATGAAATTCACTCCCCAAAGCAGAATAAACTAGCCTCTTGTCTGTTTTCTTACATACTTTGAACATATATTTCATAAAAGTCTCCCTACATTTATATTATATAAATAAGAGATCCCAAGGCTCCTTCCTCAGAGTTTCTGACCCAGCTGATGTTAGAAGGAAGTTGTAGATTTTTACAAACCCTACTATGTTCAGTATTGATTGCCTAGAAAGTAGTCACTCAGTATGAAAGGATTTAAAAAACCCCAAGTGTGAAAGAATGGGGGAGGGGGAGAGTTAGAGAAGACAGGGGGGCTGAGTGTTGTTTAGGCAAGAAAGCTCTGCACAGCTATCAGGGAGTCCTCAAAAGGTCTTCCCACCCCAACGACTGCCACCCAAGAGTTCTGATCTTCCAGGATTACGTCTACCATGATCAGTCATTGACTGGGAGCAGCGTGCAGGGTCCATGGCCTTGGAATAAATGTCGTGATACATTTCAGAGCACAGTGCTTGTGGTCTTTGGTTGGTGTAATGCCTCATAATTGGAGGACAGCAATGCAAATTAACTTGTCACCTGTACTTCATTTTTTAAGCCGACAAAGTGATAAATAGAAAAGATATGGAGCATTCAAGAAATCAAAGGGCAAGTTCCATTGAGAAAATCTGCTGTCAGAGACTTGAGAGTACTAAAAAGCAATGATGTCAGTTTAAAGATTAAAATGTGCCTGATTGGAGCTTTCAGTTGCTGAATTGGTCTTTCAATTGCTTGTTACATTTGAAACAATTGCTTGTTATAACAATTGCTTGTTATATTTGAAAATTGGCCAATGACTAAAGGTGACAGAAAAATTGATGTCTTTGAGTTATGGCATTAGAAAAGTGTACTGAAGATCTCATATACTGTAAGAGAACAAACTCATTTGTCCTAAAAAAGAGCAAACCCAGGATGCTCCTTGGAGGCATTGCTGTTGACATTTAGGATGGTGACACTCCATCTGACATATTTTAGGCATTTTATTAGGAGGGGCCAGTCCCTGGAGAAGGACATCATGCTTAGAAAGGTAGAGGGTCAGTGTAAGAAAGGAAGATCCTCAACAAGATGGATTGACACAGTGACTTTAACAATGGGTTCAAGTGTAATTGAGATGTGAGGATGGCACAGAATGGTCAGGGTTCAGATCTGTTGTTCAAAGAGTCACTATCAGTCATAGTCAACTCGATGACACAGAACAATAGTTAGAGAAGGGAGCTTTGGTGATCTAGTGGAAAGGGAGTTACACCGTTCAGTTTGGACTCACCAGCAGCTTCTTGAGAGAAAGTCCATCTCTCTGCTAGAGTGACTTACAGCCTCTAAAAACTCACTGGAGGTTTGGTCAGTTCTGAGATTGACAGCACATAATAACATAGAGAGACAATATTTGTAAATTTAGAGAAAAGACATCTATTTCACAATGGAATAAATAAAAAAAATTAAAGGATCTATGAGAGGAGGAAAAAAAAGAAAGGCAGAGAGTGGAGCAGAGAGACAGGAAAGACAGAGGCAGAGGAAAGAGAGAAAGTAGAGGGAAAAGGGAAGGAGAGACAATAATGAAAAGAAGACTTCAGAGTAGGTTGGAAGAAATGAAAAAACATTTTGACTTGGAATTAGAGGTATGATTTTTTTGTGTGTGTGTGTACTCCGAGATAGCATATGGATATGGGTTAAGGTTGAAGATACTGCATTTGGTTATCTCAATCTCTGTCACAAAATAGACTTAAAAACACTGAGGCACTGATAAAACATTTGGGCAGTACAGGAAGTACTGCATCCCCTGAGACTGACACACAAGGCAATGAGGATGAGGACAGAGGAAGACTTGGTAGATATGGGATCAAATGAAGGGAGACGAAGACTTTTGGTCTCATTTTGTGTGAAGTAGCTGAAAATATTATTTGTTTATAATTATTCTCAAAAGACAAACTTCCATACCAAAAACTGTAACAGAAATAATGTGTAAAATATTTTTTAAAAAACTTAATATTTCCAATAATTTTTATGCTAAGGTGATCATAATTGCATTAATCTTTTATTTGTCTCTTTCTTGGTGCAAATCAAAACTCTAAAATTTCCCTTGGTTTTGTTTGAGATTACTAAAACTGACCTAGTATTTAGCTTATACTATTCTCAGAAAAAATAGTAGAAAACATTTTGTCAGCATATTATATTCTTTTGTTGCTATTTAATAAATCATAAACACTTCTGACCATATATTTTTGTCTATTATTAAAAGAAATTACACACATACACACACTCACACAAACACACTCTCATTCACTTTACAAAAGATACAAATTATTTTATATTTGGAAGACAACTTTGAAATAAGTTATTTTCAATTTAGCGGTTTTGAGAACTCCAGAATCTGTAATTTAAGAAACTTCAGTTGATGGGCTATTTACAAATTTCAGAGCACCTAATGGAATTCCCACTCCATATAAAGGATGTGAGTTCCTTTAGAATTATTTTAATTATTTCAATACAATGGACAACTCTTCAGAAGTGCCAATGAAGTTTTGCAATATTAAAATATGGAAAATTCATAAATTGTTATTTAATCAATGCATTTTTAAAATAGGCAAAAGATTGTGAAATGTGTGACTGTGGAAGGATTATAAAAGTTTGGAGAAGTTGGTTGTGAAAAGTTGGGGGAAATAATGTAATTTGCAAATAAAAAACCTGAGAAGATAAAGAATTTACCCAATATTAAAATATAGTTCCTTCATTATTTATGAAGCCAGCATTAGGATTTGCTCATTTTTACTGTGGAAGTTGAAAAACAATTTTAAAAAGACCCAATAACCCTTTTCCTTGGAGTTTTGCTTTTCTATCAGGACATTTAGTGTTCTTAGTATTTGAAACCCAAGTGTTGCCAGTTTTGTTTTGGTTTACTTTGGGAGTAAAACTTGTAAACTTTATCAATAGGAGATATCCATAGTCCTAAATCAAGATTCATTGCTAACATTTGAGTAAAGTGGTTAAAAAAACCACAAACAACATTTCTGTAGAGGTAAATTCTTCTGCAGGGGGCTGGTGGGGAACCATATGTTTAAAACTTCATAGTAAAGATGTACCATAACAATCCAGCAAATTTCAAAGTTCATCCTCACATTCTTTATAATTTTGGGGTAGCCCTCATTCATATTTACTTTATTTACAGCAGTATTTTAAACAAGAGTATAGAAACAGCATATGAGTATGCTGAAAGAAAACATATTTTCATTTCTTTTACAGTTTTATCTTAAAACTTAATAATTTGGAATAAACTTTATACAAATGGTTGATTACTCCTATAATCTGGGAAAACCTGGGAGCAGGAGAGAAGTTAGCACTGCCTTTCAAAAAGTTGATCATTTGTGTGATAGAAAATATCAGACATTACTACAATTAAAGGTGTAAAGTGGCTTTCCTTCTTGTGGGATGTTTTAAAATTTCCTTCCTTATGTTGTTGTTAAGTGCTGTCGAGTCGCAGGCGACTCCCTCTCTCCATGTTCATAGGGTTTCTGGAGGCAAGCTATTACGGAAGTGGATGCCACGCCTCCTTCCATTCTTCCTTATAGTTTTCTTTTTCCCCCATGTATCTCTTTAGATAGAGAAATACAAGCATTGCTTCTAAAATGACCTCTGTTTAGTTTGAAAAGAGTGGGTAATTGTTAATTGATGGTCCAAAAGACATATCTTCATAATCGTAGCCAAGGCAGAAATGGAGTTATTTAATAATTCCTACAGTTCATTAACACAGTCTTCTGACATGTTTATTAAGCAGAGAGATCACTTTGTAAGTCCATAAAGGCTAAACTTTACCAACAGAACCTAATAACAAATGTAATAAGCGGACTTTGGCATTTACTTTCTGTGGTATCCAATATTTTGCCAATTAAATGCCATTCTTCATGTTGGCATATACTGAAGGAAGTCAAATGATCAAGTATGAGCACTAGTCATTATCATAGATGCAACCTGAAAAGAAAAAAAAAAATATATAGTTACAACCAATTTAACACATAAATTAGGTATTCTGTAAGTGCTCCAAGGATGGAAATGTAGGTTAGCCCTTACATACTCTCCTGACTTCAGTGTAAAAGAAAAAGTTTCTTCACTTTATGATGAACTAGTTAAGTCTGGTGGCCCAGTGGTAGGAGCTGCGCTGCCAACCTGAAGGCACACTGTTCGAATCTACCAGCTGCTTAGTGGGAGGAAGATGGACCATTTTCTCCTGTGTGATTAACTGTCTCTGAAAACCTGCTGGAGGGTTAGCTATGGGTCAGTTCCAACTCGATGGTACATAAAAACAAGTTAAATGGAAGATAGTATACTTAACTTTTATAGTTTAATGCATAATTTTAACAAAGTTTCTGAATGGGCTTAGTCTCTATTAAAATAATTTTAACTATTATTTATTAATTGAAATTATTATTTTCCCTTAAATTTCTCAAATGTAATTTGGGATATCATTCTGGGTGCAGATGAAAGTATTAAACATATTAGCAAGAGTCCTAAGGTTTTAAAGGGCTTCATTATTAATATCATGCTTCACTCCAGGGGAGATAAAATTTTTAGCACATAAATTAGAAAACCCTGATGTTTAAAGGAAACTAGTTAATAGCACAGGAACATATATTCATGGAGATAAAAGAATTATTCTTTAAGGATTTAAGGATAGTGAAAAATTCACCAAATCTTTTCATATTTCAATTTTGGAAGGAAATACGTAAATTTCTTATTTTTTTACTCCTGTGTGAAAGTTTCTCCCTCATTATCCCAGGTCATTAACATTCCTAAGATTTTTAAGTGATTCAAATTCTGATCAGTTGAGAAGGCTTTAATCAACCCAACAAGCCTTTTTTTTGATGTTTGTGAAAACAACTGACAATTGGTACCATCTTGGTGACTACTGTAGGAGACTTACCATCGGCAATGTCGTCATAGATCTCACCCTCACTGTTAATGGGAAAAAAAAAAGACAAAGAATTCCTGTTACTTTAAAGAATTATCCTCTTAAGATTAAAACAAAATACATATTACAAGGGAAATAGTGATATCTTAAAACAAAATGAAGTTTCATGTGATACATTTATAAGTTCTGCTCATCTGTAGCTTGTCTTTCATTGTTGGTGAATGCTGTCGAGTCAGAACCAATCCATAGCTGACCCTCCATCGGGTTTTCAGAGACAGGAATCTCCACTGGAGGAGATTGTCCATCCTTTTACCAAGGAGCAGATGTTGGACTCAAAGCATGGGCCTTTGGTATTGTTGTGCAGCTTCTTACCATTAAGCCATCAGGTCTCCTTCAGCTTTCATTGTTGCTGTTATGTGCCATCAAGTTGCCTGCTACTCATATCAGCCCTATGTACAAACAGCATCTTTCATTAGTTTAATCTAATTCTATTCATTATAAAACAGCCCCACAGTTTATTTGTTGTTGTTGTTGTTAGGTGCCATTGACTACAACCCATAGTGACTCTATGAGCAGTAGGTCTGAACCCTATTCTATCCTGTGCCATCTTCACAATCTCTGACACACTTGCGCCCATTGCTGTAGTGACTGTCAATTTATCTGGTTGAGGGTCTTCTTCTCTTTCACCGTCTCTCCACCTTTCCAAGTATGATGTCTTACTCCAAGGGATAGCCTCTTGTGGCAACATGCTCAAAATATGTGGCATAAAACTTTATCATCTTTGCCTCCAAGAGGCACTCTGGCTGTACCTTCTCCAAGACATATATGTTTGTTCTTTCAGCAGTCTATGGGATATTCAGTTCTCTTCTTCAACATCAGAATTCAAAGCCATCAATAATTCTTCTGTCATCCTTATTCATTGTCCAGCTCTCAGACATAGCAAGTGTTTGAAAAAGATCATGGTCTGAATCAAGCACACCTTTGACCTCTAACTAACATCGTTGCTGTTCAATAATTTGGAGAGGTACCTGACTGCAGATTTTCTCAATTCAATAAATCTCTCGAATTCTTAATTGCTGGTACCAAGTGTATTGACTGTAGAACTAAGTAAGATGCAGTTGTTGACAGTTTCAATCTTTTCTCCAGAGGTGATGAAGGAGAAAGTTCAAGCTGTTCTGAAGGAACTGGCAAAAAACAAGGCCCTAGGAATTGATGGCATATCAATTGACATATTTCAGCAAACAGATGCAGCCCTCACCAGGCTGTGCTAAAAAATCTGGAGGAAACCCACCTGGTCAACTTACTGCAAGAGATCAATAATTTTTTCCTGTTCCCCCAAAAAGGTAATCTTACAGAGTAGAAATTATTGAAAAATATCACTATTACTCTATTCAAGCAAAATCCTGCTGAAGATCACCCAAAACTAACTAGAACAGTACATTAAAAAAGAACTACCAGAAATACAAGCTGGGTTTGTTTAGAAGAGGCGGTGGCATTAGGCAAATGTCAGATGGATATTGGCTGAGGTAGAGAGTACCAGAAGAATGTCTATCTGTGTTTCATTGACTACACAAAGACATTTGGCTGTGTGGATCATAACAAACTCTGACTAACCTTGAGAAGAATGGGAATCCAAGAACACCTGATTGTGCTCATGCTAAACATATACTTGGACCAAAAGGCAGTCATGGAAACACTGCATGAGTCCAAATCAGGAAAGGAGTGCATCTCCATAGCTTTTCAATCTATATGCAGAACAAATCATTCAGAAGGCTGGACTTTACAAGGAGGAATATGGTATCAGTATTGGAAAAATACACATTGATAACCTGCATTACGCTGATGACACAACCTTGCTTGCTGAAACTGAGAATAGCCTGCAGAGGGTCAAAGACTACAGTTTGAAATATGGATTGAAGCTCAACATCAAGAAAATGAAGACTCTTCACCACTAGGCCAATAGGCAGAATCATGATAAATGGAGAAGAGAGTGAAATTGTTAACAATTTCAGCTTGCTTGGTTCCACAATAAACACTCTTGGGACCAGCAATTAGGAAATCAAAAGACAAATTGTATTGGAAAAATCTGCTTTCAGGGACTTCTCCGGAGTGCTAAAGAGCAACGATGTCAGTCTAGAAGTTAAGGAGCACCTGACTTAAGCCATCATCTTCACAATTACTTAATTAATATTCATCAGAGAGCTGGACAATAATCAAAGATGGCAGAAGAAAAATTGATGCCTTCGAGTTGTGATTCTGGAGAAGAGCATTGAACATATCATGGACTGCAAAGAGAACAAGCAGGTCTGTCCTGGAGAGGGTGTAGACAAGCTGCTCCTTGGAAGCAAGGATTTTGAAGCTCTGTCTCATATACTCTTTGGCCAGGATGGACCAGTCCTTGGAGAGGACGTCATGCTTGGAATGGTGTTGGGACAGCACAGAAAAGGAAGACCCTGAATGAAGTGGATTGACATAGTAACTGGTTTAATGGGGGTACGTGTCTCGGAGTCAGTGAGATTGGCAGAGGATAAGGCAGGGTTCAGAGCTATTGTACATAGGGTCGTTATGAAATATCAACAACAACAACATCATGATATTGTCTATAGGTCCAGTGGCAAGGATTTTTGTTTTCTTGATGTTGAGATGCAATCAATATTTAAGGTTGCAGTTTTTGAACTTCTGCAGCAAGTGTTTGAAGTCCTCTTCACTCTCAGCAAGCAAGGTCATTTAATCTGCATAATAAAAATTATTGATGAGTCTTCCTCCAATCCTGATGCCAATTCTTCTTCATAGAGTTCAGCTTCTTAAATAATTTGTTCAGTATAAAGATTCAATAGGTATGGAGAAAGGTACACTTTTGTACCTTTGTACTTTATTGCATACTTTTCTTAATTTAAAACCATTTAGTGTTCCCTTGCTCTGTATTTAGATTTATAGAAAAATTGAAACACACCTGAAAAGCATAGTCCATGTCATATTTGTCTTTCAGGTCGTATTTCCTTGGGTCACAGCTATACTCAGTAAGAAGGGTTTGTTGAATCTAAAAATTGAATATTGGGGGCCCTAATCCAAAACGTGTCCTGTTGGCTTAGTCCATAGTCTATTGCAATGCCAATCCAAAGATAATGTCTCTCTGGTAGTTTCTATCCTCTCAGAAGATACAGTCTCTTCCTGTGTGTGATTTACAGCCTCCTGAAAACCCAAATGAGGGTCAGCAATGAATGGAGCTTGTGGCAATGAATTTTAATCTAAAATTGTTACAATTACTTATGTCCATTAATAGTAGATATATTCTTTCACTTGAACATTAAATATTTAATTAAATACAATATTATTTGGCATAGAACACGTCTGCTTCATTTTTCACTTGTTTCCAAATACATATAAATTCTATGCATATTGTTATGCAGATGACACAACATTACTTGCTGAAACTGAGGGGGATATGAAGCATTTGCTAGAGAGTCAAGGACAGCAGTCTGCAATATCAATTGCAGCTTAACTTCAAGAAAATGAAGACTGTCAACACTGGGCCAATCAGCAGCAACATGATAGATGGAGAAAAGATTGTTAAACGTCAGCTTACTCGGTTCCACAATCAACACTCTTGACACCAGCAGTCAGGAAATAAAAAGACAAATTGCATTAGAAAAGTCTGCTGTCAGGGACCTCTCCAGAGTGCTGAAGAGTGAGGGTATCAGTCTAGAGACTAAGATGTGCCTGACCCAGGCCACTGTCTTCACAATTTCTTGCTATGTATGAGAGAATAGACAATGACCAAGGATGGCAAAATAAGAAATGATGCCTTTGAGTTATGGAACTGGAGAAGAGTATTGAACATATAATGGACTGCCAAGAGAATTAACAGGTCTGCCCTGGAGAGGGTAAAATCAAGCTGCTCCTTGGAGGCAAGGATTTTGAGACTCCATCTCACATACTTTGGGCATGTAGCTAGGAAGGACCAGTCTTTGGAGAAGGATATCATATATGGAAGGGTGAAGGGACAGTGTAGAAGAGGAAGATCCTGGGTGAGAAGGATTGACACAGGGTAGATGTGTTAGAGACAGTGAGATTGGCTCTATATAGAGTAGGGTTCAGAGTTATTGTGCATAGGGTTGTTAAGAACGATAGTCATCTTGACCTCACATAACGACCACATAATAATTACTATATAGTCAAGATATAGCTACTTTATTGATATTGATGCTGTGTAAGTCTCAAAAGCATTATTTATGATATAGGCAGCATCCATGATCACTCCTGTGTCAGATTTTAGGCCTTGTATGACCTTGCATTTCTATGACATATTCTAATTAATAAATGTTAGAGTCATATAAATCAAACCAATCTCAATGCCATCAAGTTGATTTCAACTCCTAGCAACCCTATGCTGGGTGCCTAGTGCTGCAAATCTTTACAAAGGGAGATTGCTGATTAGTTTGAACTCCTGACCTTTCAGTTCACAGCCTGATACACTACACCAGGCCTCCTTTTAATGAACTTATAAACCTATTATTCTCATAGCTGTTGAGTCAGAACTGCCTCATAACTGATCCTCTAATAGGTTTTCAGAAGCTGTTAAATCACAGAGGAGAACACTTTCTCTCTTTGTTCCACAGAGCATCTGGTGTAATCAAATTCTTGCCTTTGGGTTGGCAGCATCACTGTTTACTCACCATGTCCCCAGAGCTCCTACATATACGTATGTTGTTGTTGCAATGTGCTGTTGAGTCAAAACTAACCCATAGCTGACCCTCCAGAGTCCTTTCAGACGCAATAAATCACATGTGAGGAAACTACATATCTTTCTCCTATGGAACAGGTGGTCAATTTGCTCCACCAGCTGCCTTTGAGTTGGAAGTACAACTTCTTACTAGGAAGCCACGGAGTTCCCTGTATAAGCACATATTTTGTTGTTAAGTGCTGTTGAGTAAAGTATGATGAGACGAATATGTATGAACAACAGACTGGAACTAATTTCCATCTTCATCATCTCTGACACACTTGAGTCATTGCTGCTGTAACTGTGCCAATTCATCACCTTGGGGGTTTTCTTCTCCTTTGCTGACCCTCCATCTTTCCAAGTATAATGTCCCTTTCCAAGGACTAGCCTTGTCTAAACATGTTTATATATTTAGACATGTTAACAGTCTAAAGGTGAAGCTTTATAATCTGTGCTTTCAAGGAGCACTCTGGCTGAAGTTTCTCCAAGACACACTAGTTTTGGGTTGTTTTTTTTTTTTAAGCTTATGGTATATTCAATTCTCTTTTACAACACCACAGTTCAAAGGCACCAATTCTTCTGTCATCTTTATTCATTGTTGAGCTCTCAGATGTGTAGCAAATGATAGGATAGACCATGACTTGAATCAGCCATACCTTAGTCTTCAAACTGACATTATTACTTTAGTATTTTGGAGAGGTCTCTGACCACATATTTTTCCAGTGCAATATGTCTCCTGATTTCCTGACTGCTGGTAGTAACAGTGTTGATTGTTGATTCAAGCAAGATGAAATCGTTAACTTCAATCCTTTCTTGATCTATCATGATATTGACTGTTGGCTCCATGGTAAGGACCTTTGTTATCTTCATGCTGAGATGTAATGCATATCGAAGGCTGTATTTCTTGCTCTTCTGAAGCAAATATTTTTAAGTCATTCTCACTTTCAGCAGCCAAGGTTGCGTCATCGGCCTAGCACAGGTTATTGATGAGTCTTCCCCTGATCCCGATGCCACATTCCTCTTCATAAAGTCCTGGTTCCCAAACTTTCCTCAGCGTACAGATTGAATAGATATGGAGAAAGATGTAGCCATGATGTACACCCTTCCTGAGTCTAAACAATGCAGTCAGTGTTCCATTACTTTGTTAGGACAACAGCTTCTTGATCTAGGTATAGATTTCTCATAAGCACAATTAAGTATTTGGGCATAAGGAGGTATAAATAGTAATAAGACTAGAATTTCAAGCAGTTTGCAATTTAATAAAAGAGAAAAATGTAAGTATTTGAAATAGAATATATTACAAATATTAGCATAGCTTTGAATGTTATGATAGTTTCAAAGCTCAGAAAAGTAATGTGTCTTTGTCCCTTAGACCAGACACAAATTTGGTTCCTGTATTATCTTTGAGCTTTCTTCAAGCAACCAATAGCAGGCTTTTTGAAGCTCTTTCAACTCAGTCAGGCACTATGAGGGCTTTTTATCTTTTGTTTGATATTTGTCTGAGATTAAGGTAGATCTTGGTTAATGGAAATTTTGTACAAATGCAAAAAGGGCAGATTTTTCCATTATTTACTCAGTGGCTATTTATTAAATATCCAACTAGTGGTGAGCCACTTACTTAAATATACTTTCTTCACTGTTGGCTAATCATCCTGTAATAATCATTGGTGAAGATATTGTCCCATTATTTACCATATGGTTTACTAGAAAGTTGCGTCATTCATGAAACAAAATATGCTATACATTTCTGTGCCTACCTCTACACTTACTGTTTTTAGGGATACAAAAAATCTGGATTCTTTTGCGTTCTGATGTACTAGTTGAATTTCAGAGCACTTAGCAGTACTGATCTGCCTTTTTGACTCCTGTCAGCATGTCCGTGGATACACTGCTTGGGAAGCCTGTAAGATTCTTTCATTATACTAGTTTCTGTCAGCTTGCAAGAACCTTGGAGTTCATTTCTAAACGGATTTATGTGTAAAAGAATCTTATAATGTTTCAGAGGGCTCCAATTCACACTAGTACCAGACTGTGACAGACTGTGACAACGCCTTATTCATAAGAATAGAAAAATCTTTGACTACTGTATCTTTTTTGGCATACTTCCAAGAAGAGGAGACTTAATACACTACTGTGCCAGGAGTGAGTGAAAAAACCCCTCAATTAGGGGCCAAACAATAAACTGTTAACAGGAGTGTTTAGCACCTACAGTGTAGACACTAATTGGTTCCATGATTAATTCAATTCCACTAACTGCATTAATGGGCAAGTAAAACGCAAAGTAGTAATGAAAATGTTAGTGGCTTTGACCTGGTAATAAGGTTTGCTGTGTAGAGAGCCCAATGAATATTAAAACTATAAACTGTACTATCATGAATGGGAAGACTTGAGGCAGGGTTATGGTAGGCAAGGATCAATAGTGATTAATTTTATAAAACACAAGGTATGGGAATGATTGATTATATGAAATACAATGTGAATAGAGGAATTTGTGAAACACAATACGTATGAAGAAAACACAATGTGTAAGAATTTTGTATGTAGACCAGCATAAAATTAAAAAAAAAGGTGGCACTTTATTAAAATTCAAATTTAAATTTGAGTGTTAGCAAATTGACACTGATATACCATAGAGTTTCAAAATGTATTTTAGATAGGTCAGTAAATTATATTGTTGTGTTGTTGTTGTTATGTGCC